GGTATATTCGGACGGGTCCCGAGTGGCTCGGAGGAATTTCAGACGGGGTTCGGATCATTTGAATCATTTTTTACTATGCTGGTTTGGAAGGATCCTAGTGTGACCGCACCTGCGAAGCTATGGGTGCAGGTGTTGTCACGACCCAAAATCTACTAAAGGTCGTGATGGCGCCTAACACCGCCGTCAGGCAAGCCAACGGTGAATGATTAACTTAATTACTCATCTTAGTATTTGAAATCATAATTTTCATTAATTAAATAGTGTGAAATAGGATTTACAGGGCAATGTTAATATTTAAACGAACTACAATAATGAACAAGCTGTAAGAACCCCCAAAATCCGGTGTTACAAGTGCATGAGCATCTATTAATGATTACAACAATAATACAACATCTGTCTGAAATACAAGTTAGACGAGGAATATAAATTACTCTGATGGAGACTCTGTATACTGCGGATTGTATCAAGGATGTGCAGCTCAACGTAAAGTCCTCGCAACAGCCGCGCCTCTGCACCTGGAGGACCACCAAAAACATATAAGTATACCTGCACAATAAGCGTAACAAGTGCAGCATGAGTACGTAAATCAACGCGTACCAGTAAGTACCTAGCCTAACCCCAGAGAAGTAGTGACGAGGGGTCGATATCGACACTTACTAGTGGTCCAATAAGACAGATATAGTAAGAAGTAAATAGATATGGGGCAGAGTAACAAACGAAATAAACAGGTGTAAATACGTGGTACAATACTCCTCTATACCGCAACTCTAACTCTCGATTAACGGTTACCTCCTCAACCGGAATGTGTGTGTGTGTGTGTGTGTATGTATATATATATATATATATATATATATATATATATATATATATATATATATATATATATATATATATATGGACTTCACAAGATAGATTGTCATAATTCAAATCAGGAAAATTCCCAGATGCACTGGCCTCTCAACAAATATTACGCACGATTCCATAGGAGTATTTTATAGAAATGCCGAGGCGTACGGCCCGATACTATCATAATCTGGTACATAACCATATATACATCTATTATATTGCTAAGGCAAACGGCCCGCTCCCATGAGAGTGTGATACATAATCCTGCCAAGGCGTACGGTCCAATCCATCATATTGTGCGCACTGTCGAGGGTCGAACAGTACGAACCATAGATGTATCTATCCTGCCGAGGCGAATGGCCCAATTCCATTAGAATAAGAAGCTTTGACGGGTCCTTGACCCCACTCACGAAGGGACATGTGAGTTATAAGAAGCTTTGGGGAAAACCTTTCGACGAGAACACATAACGCGGGAGAAATTCGTAAGAGGAGTACAAGTATTTCGCGGCTAATCATGAAGCCCGTCGAATCTCTACAATAGTGAGTCTATCGCTCTACACAAGTCTAGTCTCAAGTCATAACGTAAAATAAAGAAATTTAATAGACAAGGGACTGCTCAAATAGTACAACTATAGCATAGTGTGAACCTAAGTCTACCCGGACAATAACATGGATCTAACTACATACGGACTCTCATCACCCCGTTCGTACGTAGCCCCCGCAACAAGTAATACATATCAAATACAACACCTAGGGGTAATTTCCCCCTCACGGAGTTAGACATGAGACTTACCTCGCTCCGAAGTTCCATAACCGGCTCCCAAGCCTCTCTAACACCTCAAATCGGTGCCCGTCGCTCCAAAACTAGTCAATAAATGTGCAAATCCATAAATATGTACTCTAATACTCATAATAAATCAATTTATAACAATTCCCATTTCCGCTCGAAAAGTCGATAAAGTCAACCCTCAAGCCCACGTGCCCGGATTCCAAAAAATTTCGAAGATAAATTTATCCATAACACTACGAACTCAAATATATGATTTATTCCAAATTCCAAGCCCAAATTCGAGGTTAAAATCCAAAAATAGCAATTACTAGGTTTTCTACCAAAATCCCACAATTTCTACAAATTTTCATGTTCAAATCCTTATAGAATCCATGTATTTAACGCACAATAGGTGGGGATAACTTACCTTGCCATAGATGATGAAAACCTCCACTTGAAGCTCTCCAAAAATCGCCCAACCAAGAGGGAAATGAAAGAAAATGGGCCAAATCCGGTTCTTAAAAGAACGCACTGCCCAGCGACCTTTTGCATCTGCGGAGACAAAGGCCGTTTCTGCGGCACCAAGTCCGCTTCTACAAAAAACACTGAAGGCCGCCCCTTCGCCCCTGTGGACAAGGCCCCGCTCCCGCGACATCGTAGGTGCGCAAATGCCCCTCGTTCCTACGCTTCTTTCCGCTTCTGCGCTTCAGGAAGCCGAATCTGCGCCACCGTAGCTGCAGAAAAAGTATTGAACCTACGGCTCCAGTCCAGTTCTGCCCAGGTCGCTTCTACGAGCCTCACCTCGCTTCTGTGCGGTCTCTTCTACGACCAAACTTTCACGAAAACGGTCGCACCAGCACCAGAAATTCTTCAGCTTATCCTTTAGTCCAAAATTCAATCCATTAACCATCCGAAATCCATCAGAGGCCCTCTGAAATTTAACCAAATATACCAACACATCCCAAAATGCAACACGAACTTAGTCGAAGCCCCAAACCACGTCAAATAACATCGAAATCATGAATCGCACTCCAATTCAAGCTTAATGATTTTTAGAACTTCAAACTTCTATATTCGACGCCAAAACCTATCAAATCAAGTCCGATTGACCTCGAATTTTGCAAACAAGTCATAATTGACATTACGGACCTACTCCCTCTTTCGGAATCGAAATCCGACCCCGATATCAAAAAGTCCACTCCCGTCAAACTTCCCAAAAATCATCCAATTTCCAACTTTCGCCAATTGACGCCGAAATGACCTACGGACCTCCAAATCAACATCCGGACGCTCTCCTAAGACCAGAATTACCATACAGAGCTATTCCCAGGCTCAGAATCCCAAACGGACATCGATAACATCAAAATACACTTCAACCCAAATATTTGAAATTCTTCCGAAATGCCAACTTTCTACAATAAGCGCCGAAATGCTCCCGGGTCATCCAAAACCCGATCCGGATATACGCCCAAGTCCAAAATTATCATACAAACCTATTGGAACTTTCAAACTCCGATTCCGAGGCCGTTTACTCAAAAGTCAAATCCTAGTTAATTCTTCCAACTTAAAGCTTCCGAAATTAGAATTTCCTTTCCAAATCAGCTCCGAACTTCCCGAAATTCAATTCCGACCACACGTACAAGTCATGATACCTGAAGTGAAGCTACTCAAGGCCTCAAACTGCCGAACGACGTGCAAAAGCTCAAAATGACCGGTCGGGTCGTTACAAATGCGGAGCCGCAAAAGCGGCAAAATGGTCGCAAGAGCGGAAAAGGCTATGTTTGGGAGCACCGCAGATGCGAGGTTTTGGGCCACATATGCATTATTGCAGAAGTGATGGCTGAGGAGCAGGGGCAAGACTTGTGCGCAGATGCGTGTTTGGCATCGCACCTGCGATCTCGCAGAAGCAGGAGTTTGGCCGCAGGTGCGATGGGCGAGTTTCTAGTGACTTACCTCAAAATCACAATTTTGGTCGCAAAAGCGACGTCGTAGAAGCGGGAATTTGTTCGCAAATGCGAAAATTGCTGGACAGAAATTATAAATCGAGGGCTTGGTCATTTTATTCATTTTTGGAGTTATGGAGATCGAATTGGGACAAGTTTTGAAGAGATTTTCACCATATGTATTGGGGTAAGTGTTCTCTACTCAGTTTTAGTTAAATTTCGTGAATCTATCTTCGTTATTTTTTTTTTGGTAATTGGATTGTGAATTTTAAAGAGAAAATTGGGGGGTTTTGTCTAAAGTTTCATAGAGTGAATTTTGAGTTTTGAACATCTATTCGGAGTCGGATTTTAGTGAAACCGGTATGGTTGGACTCGTAATTGAATGGGTTGTCGAATTTTACGAGTTTTGTAGGGTTCCGAGGTGCGGAGCCGGGTTTGACTTTTGGTTGACTTTGGGCTTTTGATTTAAGATTCCACCTCTATCATGTGGAATTATTTTCTTAGGCATTGTTTGGCGTATTTGAGTTGCTTTTGGCTAGTTTTGAGCCGTTCGGAGGTCGGTACGCGCGAGATGGTGTTTCCAGAGTATTGTTTGGCTTGCTCGGTATTGGATTCGGCTTGTTCGAGGTAAGTAACACTTCTAAATTTGGTGCTGAGAGTATGAACCCCTGAATATACGTGTTATGTATTTGGTGTAAGGTGATGCACATGCTAGGTGACGGGCGTGTGGGCGTGCACCGTATGAATTGTGACTCGGTTATTTCTGTGGTACTATGTAGTTACCTAATCTTATCTGTATCCATGAAATTTCTACGTGCTAGCGAAATTGAGCTGTGATCTATGTTAGAAACTATGTTTACGCTATATGCTCATTCTGTTGGGACCCATTGAGGTCAATTCTGCTGTTGAGTTATTTGCTTAATTTGCATTTACATACTCAGTCACATTCATTCATTTACAGCTCTGAGGCTCTCTATTGATTCAAAGCAGGAAAAACCCCTGCTCAATATTAAGCGATGCTTTTAAAAACTTTTTTGAATGATTATTTAGTTTGCTATATAAAGCGTGATATACTTAAAACTGTAAGTAATGATGCTATTATTGACTGTTTTTAAAGTATAAAACTCGCCAAGGACAATTATAAATTGTAAAGTGAATGATATTTTTTGTGTATATAGTATTGATATAGTTTTCTCGTCAACTTGTTTTTGCTATAAATTTTATTTAATGGAACCAAACATCTATCTTAAAGATAATTGTACACCCATATTGCACCCATATTCTTAAAATCTTGAATACGCCTGTGATGTTATACTTTCACAAATTAATTGATATGTTTCTTTCTGTGATATGTATACCAATACGCTTTAATCGTTTAAATTGTTCTATTTTATAATCTGAAAAAGTATCACTAGTATTATTATCATTGTCCACCCAAGAAATAAAAAGAACTGCGTCTCTTTGATTAATGCCAGCCTAGACAAACCAAGGCCACATAACTTTGGATAACGATTCCATGGCCTATTCCAAAACATTATCAACAATAACACAAAAAAAGTGAAGTAAAATTTTAAACTACAATCTTTTGGTCTTTTCTTCATTCTGATTCTTGGATCAAAGAAGTAAATTATTATACAACGAATGCAACCAAAACAGATTTTAACCAAAGCATTGATCTGTTGGAAGTGGCCCAGGAATAGAACCTTGATCCAAGAACTGCAACCCAAACACAACCAAAATGGCTAACAATGACAAGTATGACAAGCCTTCAACTGCACCCAACAAACCAAATGGTCCATTGGGCAAACCTGAGCCAGTTTTAGACTTAGTGTACAATGACCAAGCCACAATTCCAACCACAACTAAATAACTCACCCCTTCAAGTGCACCAATTGAACCACCAGGTCCAGGTGGCAGACCACACCCTGTTGTTTTTAATGTGTAAAGAGACCATCCAACTACTGGTGTAGATATTTGTCCACCTACTATAGCAATTTTCTCTATGGAACTTGAGGTTTCGCTGCTTTTTTTAGCCATGGCTTGGATCTTGAATAGTGAAGGGGAGTGAGTTGTTTTGGGATTGACATAGTGATTGTAGTTGTGTTTTTGTGATGGAAGATACTTTGGAGATGATGGGGCTAGAAAGATTAACATTTTTAGACTTCAAAAATGAGTTGAGGGAGAAGGGATAAAAGGTAATGAAATTTGAGTTGCTGTGAGGTGGAGAGTGGGTGTGTGAAATAACACAAGTGCAGATTTATTTGGTCGTGTAATGGCAAATTATCTGGGACGTCTCAATATATCTGCAAGATATTGGCATTCTTTGCTATTTCAAAAGTAGTATAGTATTGCTTTATTTTATAGAACGTTTTTCTGTTAAACGCAACTTTTTAATGTATTTGAAAATATTTTAATGATAAAAAGTTGTCAGTTCTAATACCTTTTATTTAGGGCTAGATTATGTGAATTTTATTTTTACAGGATTTTTTTTAAAAAAAAAAAAAGAAAAAAAAAAGATGTCTGAATTAAGATAAAAATTAGTAAAAGATTTGAACGTCATAAATCAAATCCTTCAAATTTTTTAAACGAAGGAATAGCACTTTTTTATTGTAAATAATGGCATTTCATTTGTTTCCGCCTCCTCTATATCTACCGTACTTCAACTTCATTAAACTTGCCAGAGCACGAATAATGAAAAGTTGCAATATAAGTTAATAGAGAAAGGACAACGTAAAAATAATTATACTATAAACCAAAACGGTTTAGTAACCAATACTTACAATGCGACACGTAATATGAGATTAAAACACAGTTATTTCTTGACCACTACGTCGTGCACCTATTCTCTCAAGGAAATATCACTTTGTTTAATGACAATAATCACCCTCATAGCGTTCCCTATTTTTGAGGGGGGTTNGGAGTCCGGGTGAGGAAGGAAGAAATAAGGATGGATGTATTACCATTGATTTGAATACAATAATCGAAGTTCAAGAAATTAAATACAAATCCAAGCGCACACACGCTGCATCTCTTTGTAACGTAATTTGCCTTGCAAGTACCAATAAACAAACAAGACGAATCCCATTTTGTCGCAACCAGCTTGTGAAGTTTACGCGCATTGACAGCTTGGACCAAAGTTTTGATGGAAAACCCAAGGCAGGCCGAATCCTGCTATACTTAAGCCGGCCCAAACTCAGTACAGTCATTGGCCTGCTCTACCCTTAATCACCTTCTAACGTAGCAGCTCAATCTATTCAAGGCGCATATCCATCATTTGACACCCACAGTTTTGGGCTTCCAAGCCCAAAATTACTTTTACAAGGGCCAAAAATCTGCTTTGAAGATACCCGAGATGGCACCAAACTGATGGGCTGGCTGGTGGTATAAAATGTTACAACAGAATATAAGCGCGTTGTTTTCTTTTATCCCTTTTTTTGCGTATGGGACCATTGCTTTTTTTCTCTTTGTTTTTTCTTTATTTAACGAAATTCTCGACCGGTTGGTACAATATCATCGCTCGGTCACATGGTTGGAAGATCAGCGAATAGGTGCAATCAATTGACACACAAACAGCTGCCATCTGGCACCACCTGCACGTTGCCAAAAAAAATTAGATGTAAAAGTAGGCTGACAACAAATTGCGTGTGACATAATTGGATCAAAGGACGGACTCATCACAATGATAAACGGTCACACTTAACTGAGACAACTATCCACAAGACTGTTTTACAAGCCAATTAAAAACTATCCCCCAGGAAAAGCAAAGCGTCCTTTTTAAAATTCAAGAAAAAAGGCGGAAAACAAATTCTATCACTACTTCTACTGTAGAACTAGCAGAGGTTTTCTTTTTAGCTTTTCCCCAATTCAAATTCCCCTCCAATATAACCTACTCATGAAGCGGGTTGGATCTCCCCATCAACTGCCATTTGAATCACAACGCAACGGCCAATATTTACTAACGACCTTTTGAACATTTGTATACCTCTAAGACCTGAATTTCCCACCAAAACATGTGTCCTGTCCATGAAAAGATGTTCAACAGTCAACTACTTCCAGCCTCCAGACAAATCTATTCCTCAAGTTCATCACTTTCGTCAAACCCACCACAGATAAAGTCACTAACGGTGCTTGGATGACTTTGCATACTCTTCATCGTCATCTTCTTCACCACCATCATCATCGTCATCATCCCGCTTCCTCTTTTGAGAGGAGGAAGGTGGCACCTCTTGAACTTCACCATAGTCGTCCTCTTCATCTTCAACTTCTTCCTCCAACTCAGGATCTTCATCACCATTTACTGGCTCCATATCACTGCCTTCAGCATCATCTACTTCAATAGGACCAACTGGTTGAACAAGGTAGCCATTGCCATTATCTTCCTCCTGCCATTTAAATGAAAATTAGCATAGTAAGCTCAGCAAACCTAATAAAGGTGGTCAACTGATATACTGCAAAACCCTAAGATGCAAAATTTTAAGGAGATAACAAGATAATGATCACCAAATTAACCATAAAAAAATTACCAAGGTTCAGATAAAATCAAGAGCCATAAAACACATCTCTGGAAGTAGATCATTTAAATATGCCAACGAAGCTAGGCCAACAGAACTCAGAAAACTAATCTTTTAGCAGCAAGAATAAAAATATAAAATAACCATTACGACAACAAGGCAGAAAAGTGGGAAGCAACATAAGCAGTGAATTCAACAACACCAAATGATCGCATATACCTTAGCAGCAAAATCCAACAATCCTTTACGGAAAAAAAAAAAGGAAGATAATGATAAATGATGACAGAAGAGGGGGGGAAAACAAAAAACAAATTTTTAGTCAGAAAATAGAAAATCCCTTGATGAAAACTAAGAAAATGCAGAATAGCACATAAGCAGCAGATTCGACAAGGTAACATTCCCTATACTTTGGCAATTGACATAGTCACCTCTACGGGATATGATGGCAGAAAAGTAAAAGACCGAAAAATGAATTGGTCGGAGATCCATTAAAGTAAATCAATTTAAAACCAACAAAAAGATGAAAAACTAAAAACACCATAATCCGACACCCCTTCTGTAAGTAACTGATAATACTATCTTAAGCCAGGAGGAGATAACCCCCAAAAAAGAGGTTTAAGGAAGTTTCTTTCAAGAGAAACAAGCTCAATGGGGACAGGGCAGATCACAGCAAACTTTAGATTCCAAAATTTTGGAAATCAAGAGATTGTGCATAAAAACAATTAAGCTATAAGGAAGAAAAGGAGGAACAAAGAGATGGCACAAAAGCAGACGGACAAAAGACAAGGAAAATTGTGAATCTAGATCACTGCACTCAGAGCCTTAGCATTCAGTTTGCAAGTATAAAAATTGACAAAGAAACTTTAAAGAGAATTCTCAGAAAATCTCTCACAAATCATGTTTTTTATGAGTATTTGCATGCACATTACTTGGGTAGAATAACCAAATTATGGTCAAGATCTCACACAAATAAATCGTGCCAAAAGTTATTCCCCTCTTATAACTTCTGATTAATCCCTCTTTAGTCACTCTTCTGTAGAATAACACAAGTCAAGCAGAAATAATATAAATATTCCACACCACCTTGATCTAATAAGAAATTACCACTTTCCAGAAAAAGGATTCACAAAATCAGCTTGGTTTCTAAGGTGGCAACGGAAACCACCTGTGCACCAAAACTTCCAGGTTCATACTAACACGAAATTAATATTTCTTTTGGGGGTAATCTGATATTACAAGACTTTCTAACCAATATGCTACCAAAAATCACTGGTATTACCAGCAACAATCATGTAAAGATCAAATTGATCAATGGTTATGGAGATCAAATGATGACAATTCTTCCAGCAGCAATAAGCACATGAACCACGACATGCATATCTTAGTAAACAAATAGCAAGAGAAATTAACAAAACTAACACACAAAATAAACACTCCACACATTAGCAAATAAAACAGAATAAATTACGCTTAATATAGACTAGCAAGAAAGCCTTCTAACCAAACAACCAAATATGACATGTAACACATGAAAATGAAAACATAACTACATAAAACAGGAAAGATTTTCACCTCATCTTCAGCCTCCTCTTCATCATCGAAATCACCATCTTCCTCAACACCCTGCTCCTCCCCTGTCTCCCCATCATCATCCTCATCTGCATCATCTTCCCCCTGCTCATGCCCATCAATCTCCCCTTCAGTGCTATTTAACCTCCCCGTGCTCTCTGGCTCCGCAAAATCCCCATCATCATTATCAACTTCCTCCTCATCCTCTTCATCGTCGTCGTCGTCATCATCATCGTCCTCGTCATCTTCCACACCATCCTCCTCTTCATCACTGTCTTCTATTTCATGAACCTCCACTACATCCTCCTCATCACCCTCTTCATCTATCTCCTCCACAAAATCCTCATCTTCATCATCCTCATCATCCTCCTCGTCGTCTCCATCCCCAACCGCCTCTACTCGAAAACCATTTGAGTGGTGAGACGAACTCGAACCGTCATGTTTCGACCCATTAATCCCTCGAGTTATCTCCATTTCTTCCTCATCAGCATCACTCTCGTCCTCATCGACATCTACAACTCCTTCACTCCCAACCCTGTGTCCATTATTCATCCTGTAAGGCCGATCTTCTCCATCAACTTCCCCACTCCCCGGATCATCCTCTTCATCCTCCTCTTCATCTTCCTCCTCATCATCCGACTCCGGCCTCTCGTTCCCCTCCGCATCCATCTTATCCAAATACTTCAACGACCTAATCAATCCAAAAACCCTAGATCGGTAGTCCTTAACTCGCGTAACCGGACACTCATAGAGATCAAGCGACACAAGCCGGAGTTCAGCCAACGGCCGGAGATCGTCGATATCCTGAATCCGATTATTCGACAAATCGAGGTCCCGGAGTGAATTTAAACCAGCATCTACGAGGAACTCGAGGCCTCCGGCGATTCTATTGTCCGATAAAATTAACTTCTGCAGATTCTGTAGCCGAGGAAACTGTTCTAGCGACGAAACACCGATGTTTGCAATCGAAAGGTGCTCGAGATTCTGAAACTTCTCAAAAATCGATGGAGGAGGTAACTTACCATGAATACACTTAACGGCTCCGTCTAACGTTAGGGTTCGCACAGAACCGAAATTTCTCTCGCCGTCTAACGCCGTCTCCACCGCTCTCTCCCAAATCTCGTCCATTAATCAGAGCCAGAACTCATATGATACGAATTTTCTAAGAACTATGGGACTAAATTGGAATATAGATAAAATTCCGGACTAGAAGTTAAATTCCACAAACTTTTCCGGTATCTTCTACGGCAAAGGAGAATACATATAGAAAACCTAATTTTTCTTCTTTTTCTTTCTCTCTCTAGTTTCTCTCTCTAAAAACTCTTCACTCTATCGCTTGATATATTAGGGGAGGCGAGTCGAGAAAACTCGAGGCCGAGTCAGGGTTTGGGGAACAAGAGTAATCAGGGTTGAGTTAACTAACCCGAGTACAGGGTTAATATGTGTTTGTTGGGAGACTGATTTGCAGCCGTTGATTTTGAGAGACGCGGATTGATGACGTGGCTGGATATTGGACGGTAGAGATTGAAGGACGGTGTGTTTCTCTTTTCAAAAGGAAGGGCGTAGAGTGTATGGTTTGGAAGACTCGTTTTGATTTCGGAATTGATGAGTCTGACACGTCACTCTTGACGTTAATATATATCGGGGAATATTTGAATATGCCCCATTATTTCTGTAATATCACGGAAATACCACTGACCAATAACACGAGAACCTATTTTCTTATTCTTTTATAGTTTTAGTTTCATGACTTCTTTTTCTTTTTCCTTTTCACATAGAGCCAGAGTAGTTCGTGTCCTTTCGGGTTTGGCCTGCTATGAAATTTAAAAAGCCCTTTGTTTTTCCGCCTAATAATATTTACCTTTATCAAAAAATATTTAGGATTTGTTTGTCCATACAAATAAAAATAAAATTGAAATATTTTTTCAAAAATGTATTTGTCCATGAAAATTTACAAGTTTTTAAAAAAAATCGAAAATAATTTTTTAAAAATTTTCCACTCACAAGACTGCAATATTTTTTCAAGTGAAATGCATATCCAAACATAATTTCAAATTCCAAATCTTATTTTTCAACTTATTTCCAAATACTATTATCTTTTTAAATTACAATATTTATGTCCAAACGCCTACATATATTTTTTTTCCAAAAATTCAGTTATCATATACAGCGATTCATGGTATATATCGACTCTCATAGCTACCATATTCAGTAAGAATGGATAATCTTATTTCATCTCAGTATTAAATAAGCATATAGGAGTAATTTAATTTCACATCATATCAGCATGAAATAATTAAGCATATTATTGGGCATAATAATTCGTTAGAAAATATGTTCTTCGTTAATAATTTCTTGCAATCTAATACTCAGTTCGTGTAAGAACTTAATTAGTATGTAAATTTTAATGACTGAGTTAGACTTTTAGGTTTTGGTACATGGATAAGAATAACAATTTCGAGATAAAGTTTGGAATCAACTTGATCTCATGTTTGTTTTGGGGGTATTAGCTAATCTCATGATAACTTTTACACTAAATAGTGAGATTGATAATCCCATATACAAGATGGGATAACTAATCCTACGATATATCCCACCATTATACCAAACGACCCTTATCGTTATTAGAACGAAAACAATGGTAAGTAACGTAAACCTGACTAAATATATTTAATTTTCTCCTCTCTTTTTCAAAGCTGATGATAGGACAATTTTCTCATTTGTACCTGAGAAACTGGAGATAGGTTCAAGTACTTTACAACCCACAGCCATATATGTGAACTTTATGCAGTTAATATGTTAATTGTAGTTAGTCTGTTAATCAGGTTGTTAGTTAGTTAACAGTTAGGTTAGTTAGTTGGTTATGTGTGGGCCCAGTAGTTAAGTGGCTGGGGCTAAGTTAGTACATAGTTGAGTATATATAAGTTTGTAACTCCTTTCATTTCAGAGAAATAGAGTTCATTTTCTCTCTACTGCAATTCCCTTCTTCTTTCGAGTTCATCTCTTCCATTTCAGACCTAATCACATTTGGTTGTGTGAATCTAGATATTGAACTCAGATTCACCAAGCTCACATGGTATCAGAGCAGTGAAGAGCTGTAATTCCGCAAATTTTGTTTAATTCAGGTGAAATCTCATTGTCATATTCTTCGCCGAAGCTGCAACTGACGATTGTTAATGGCGGCTGAAAAAATCGATCACACGCATCCTTTATTTGTTCACCCTTCAGACACTCCTAGCTCAATTCCGATCCCTGTAAAGTTCACAGGTTCAGAAAATTATGGGTTGTGGCGTCGCTCAATGCGAATTGCGTTACAAGCTAAGAGGAAGCTAGGGTTTGTGCTTGGGACATGAAAAAAGGATTCGTTTCAATCTGAATTACACGAGGACTGGGAAACATGTAACGATCGTGCTTTCCTGGATCATGAATATTGTGTCTCTGGATCTACTTAGTGGTATTGTCTACACATCTAATGCACATCTAGTGTGGGAGGATTTGACAAAGTGAATCGTATGCGGATATTTCAGTTGCACAGGGAAATTGCCACTATTACACAGGGAACAAATTCAGTCTCTGCATATTTCACTAGGTTGAAGGAATTATGGGCTGGGTATAATGCCATGGTGCCTGTCCCTAATTCGAAGAAGTATGTTAAACACCTTCAACAGCAAAGGTTAATGCAGTTTCTAAGTGGTCTCAATGAGACATATGACCAAGCAAGGTGTCAGATCTTAATGAAGATTGTGGAGCCAACATTGAATCAAGCTTATGCATTGATTATAAAGACGAGAGTCAGAATTCTAATACAGATCCAATCTTGCCAAACAGAGGAGATCCAGTTGCTATGCAAACAGGTGGAGGGCAGATGGCTATGCAGAATAACAGGGGACAATACAAAGGAAAGAAGCCATTTGTGAAGTGTGATTATTGCAAAAAAACTGAGCATTCCAAAGAAAATTGCTTTAAATTAGTTGGCTATCCAACTGATTTTTCAAAACTAAGAGGCCATATACAGCTAATATGACACTGGTAGCCAAGAGAATGATAAATCAGCACATCAGGATGAAGGAGGAAGTGGTTGTGATGGATTAAAGGTAGGACCATATTTCACTGAAGACCAATATAGACAGATTTTTAGCATGCTGAACAAGGAAACTCCAGAACATCAAGCTAACATGGCAGGTATTGCAACCTCCTTAATGACAAGTTTTACTTGTAAAGAATGGGTAATTGATTCTGGAGCTACGCATCACATAGCTGGTGAACTAGGCATGTTAAATACTAAGAATAAAGTGAACAAATGTGATAGTGATCAAGTACATTTGCCTACAGGAGAAAAGTCTAGTATAGCACATGTTAGGGATGCTGTCATATGTGATGAACTGAAGCTGGAAGATGTTTTATTTGTACCTGAATTTAAGTTCAATCTAATCTCAGTGTCCAAACTAACTAGGCAGCTATGTTGTTAAGTGAATTTCTTCCTTTATTTCTGCTTGTTTCAGGATCTCTATAATGGCAATGTGAGGGGGATTGGTAGAGAAAGAGGTGGTCTGTACATATTGAAAGAAGAACTTCAAAGGAGATTTGGAAAAGTTTATCAGAGGGATAAGGAAGTTTGCATCAATTATAACCACACAGAACAATAAAGGAGATGGAGTTTTATGGCACAAAAGGCTGGGCCATGCTTCAGTTAGTACTATGAAGAACTTGGATCTACTTCATAACAAGTCTATAGATGTAGTAGTGAATAATGATTGCCCTGTATGTCCACTAGCAAAACAAAGTAGGTTAGTATTCCCTAGAAGTATGAGTAGGAGTGAAAATCCTTTATCTATTTTGCATATGGATGTTTGGGGACCATATAGGTTTCCCACGTATGATAGAAAATATTTTTTCCTAACAGTTGTGGATGATAATACAAGGTATAACATTTACTTCAATTGAAAAGTGATGTTGTTGTGGTGTTGAAGAAATTTCTTGCCATGTTGCACACTCAATTTTAGTCTAAAGTGAAGGTAATTAGAACAGATAATGGTACAAAATTCTTTAATAAACACATGAATGAATTGTTTGATGCCTATGGTATAGTTCATCAAAGTAGTTATGTATACACTCCACAGCAGAATGGAATAGTGGAGAGAAAACACAGGCACATTCTAGATACAGCTAGGGCATTGAAGTTTCAAGCAAATGTCCCTACAAGGCTCTGGGGTGAATGCATTAAAACAATTGTGTATGTGATAAACAGACTACCTACTGAGTTGTTGGATGGAAAGGCCCCATATGAGCTCCTTCATAACAAATCACCTTCCTTGTCTCACCTTAGAGTGTTTGGATGTCTTTGCTATGCCACTAACTTGGTTAAGGAAGAAAAATTCTCACCAAGGGCAAGGGCAGCTATATTCCTTGGTTATACAGAGACACAAAAAGGCTACAAGCTACTTGATTTAAATACTAATTGTTTCTTTGTTTGCAGAGATGTTATCTTCAAAGAGAATATCTGTCCATTTGCCAAACATTGTCCCACATCTCACAATGCAGAGAGACATACAACAACTGCAGATGGCCTCAGAGTCTTTACAGAATCCCTATGGCAATATGTATCAGAAGTCAGAAGGAGTTATAAGCAGTAATTTAGGATCGCTTGTTGAGGGAGAGACATTGACAACAATGCAGGGACTCATATTGCAGAACATGAAGTAAATGATGATATGCCAAACTCATCGGAAACAAATGCAGATATGCAACATGAAGGAAATGGTGATATTACAAACTCACCAGGAGAAAATACAAGTGATGATGCAGATGCAACAAGCAGCAGTGCAGTCCAAGAACAACAATTAGTGTAGGAAGGTGAAGTGAATCCTCCAGCAACTCTTGAACAAGAGTCAACTGAGATCAGAAAATCTAAAAGAACCACAAAGGAACCATATGGTTGCAGGACTATATGACCACAGCAAGAAGGAGTTCTTCTTATCCCTGTCCAACTACCTATTCGATAGCAAGTTGACTGACAAATGCAGAAGCTTTTTGGCTGGAATCCCAAAATTAACAGAACCAAAGACCTTTAGTGAAGCATCTAAGGACAAAAAGTGGGTTGAAGCCATGGAAGCTGAAATCAAGGCTTTGGAGGCCAACATAACCTGGGATGTTGTTGATCTTCCAAAAGGCATTAAGTCTATTGGTTCAAAGTGGGTGTATAAGATTAAATACAAAGCAAATGGTGAAGTAGAAAGATTCAAGGCTAGGTTGGTAGCCAAGAGTTATAGCCAAAGAGAAGGCCTAGACTATAATGAAACAATCTCACCAGTTGCCAAAATGGTAACTGTGAGATCAGTGATTGCTCTAGCTGCTT